GCTACTTTACCTCAGTTCTTCTTCATATCAACAACTGTATGCTTTTTTACTTTATTTCCATTTATTCCTTTATTGCCTTATTCATTTACTTAACTTTTATGAGAAGCAAAAAGTTACATCATTTAATTCGCTTATTGTTTTTTTTCTTGTCTTTTTCTTAAAATATCCTATAAAAAAAAAAAAAAAGAAAAAACTAGTAGTCGCTGTAAAATTTATCAAAATGAGCACCATTTGAAGTAAATTTTGAATGTATAGTTTATAAATGAAAAAGAATTTAACATCTGTTATGAGATGACTAGTAAAATGGTATTATTCTTTTCAAAAACAACAAATATATATAAATACATATGAGTTTGAGATAATTTTTTTTAATATTATAATTTCCAATAACAGTTACAATATACATTGTTAATATTCGAAAAAAAAAAAATTTTATAATAGTTCAATTTCAGGAAATTTTTTGAAAAATGATATTGAAGCAGTCACTAATGTTGTTCGTTTTTATCCATCTGATTATCGGTACAATTTCGACAGAAATAAATTTGGACTTCCTGAAACAGAAGGGTACCCAGAAGAAACAGGATGCATTGTTTGATGAATTGTTAAAAGTTGCAAATATGATCAATGAAAATATGCCAAAAGGAGCATCAAAAAGCCAAAATGCCTTATGGAATTTTTTGGACGGTTATCGAGCTATAACTAAAGGACAAGTTTTTCCAAAAGAAAAACGACAAATGAAGGAAATTCTTGCACTTGGAAAACAGCTATTGAACGAATAAATTCTGAGCAGACCACCTCTAAAATCTGTATCAGTAAAAAAAAATTTAAAAAATTATCGTCTATCATTTAACACTGCTTGCAGCCAAAAAGATGGATAAAGTGGAAGTTTACGGCAACCACAATAAACGTACTCCGTACAGTAGAAAAACTAAAACATTGCTTTCAATATGTCGAAAAAAATAACGTTTCGTGAGGAAACGAGATATATGTTCAACTCTTTTTTGGTCACAGTTAAATGCTGTTGTACAATGTTAACACTTGTATCATTCAATTAATCAAAAATCCGTAGTGTATCTGTAGTTGCCTCAAATTATTCTTGATAATGTCGATGGTAATCAGTTTTAAAAAAATATAAAGTGTAATTGAGCTTTTACTAACTCTAACTAGTATTCATCTATATTTTAGCTGTAGACTAAACTGGTAACTTTGAATAATACCATAAGATATGAGGTTAACTTTTACTGCATACGAAAACCTTTATTTTAGAGATGAGTACTTTTACAAAAGCCATGAAAAGAGCCAGGAAATCATGTAAACCATTTTGCATGGTTTACCGAGCAAAAAGAGGTCCGATTTGTGAAACATCAGCGACTTAAAGCTGATTTCTCTAATTTGCTTCTTAGACTATCGCAGGCAAAAAAAAGTGGACTGCGATCACTGAGTCCAGAGGTACCCAGTACTTCCTGTGCATTACTTGGTCTGCAGTCCTCTGCTAATTAGGATTTTGTTGGTCTTGCTCGCAGAAGAGACGAAATTTAAAGCATGTCTTACAATGAAAAGCTCTTCCTTGAGTATGAAGTCTTGTTCCACCGCATCGCTCCCTACCATGCATCCAAACGAATTGAATTCCCAAAATTCCTGACCATC